TACTTTGCAGCCCACGCCAAATTCTTCGCGGTCTCGGCTCCGTCCACGGCCATGCGCCACATCGCCGTCAACATCTGATACGTGCCTTCGGTCGGGTTGCGAAGACCTAAGCTAATCGCAACATCAACCAGCACGTTGAGCTTCGCTTCCTCGGGCACGTCGGTCCGCGCCAACTGGTGCCACGAGCCCGCTGTCAGGTACCCGAAGATGCACTCATAATCCTGCTGAGCCATTCGCAAACCCACGGCGCTGCCAGAAGCCACGATGCTGCCGAGCTTCTCCAACAGCCTCCCCTTGGAAACCTCGGACCAGGGTTGCGCTGCGACGAGAGACGAGAGGGTTGTCACCTGCGTGGGCTGCAGCCTCGCGCTCCCGAAAGCCTGCACGAGCATCCTTTCCTGCGCGGCCGCCACCGTATCGAAACAGGGCTGCCCTTGCACTGCCTCGAGCAATCGCCCGACGGCCTCGACTTGGTCGCGCAAGCGCTGGGCAGCCATGGCTATGCGGCCCCACCCACCCAAAAAAAAACGCGCGGGCTTGCGTATGCAAACGGCTTCGAATGATGGCGCAGTGGGGGCGGCATGGGCAGGGGCCTCATAGCGAACTCATCGCTTATAGCGAATTGATCGCTCAGATAATTGCACAGCGAATTGATCGCTCAGAGAACCACATAGCGAATTCATCGCTTATAGCGAATTGATCGCTCAGATAATTGCACAGCGAATTGATCGCTCAGAGAACCACATAGCGAATTTATCGCTCATACCCAGGAATGCGTTAGCGAATGCATCGCTGTCCTCCTCCTTCCCCCCTCCTTTCTTCTCGCCGTCCTACTGGCTCACTACCGAACCACAGGGGGGGAGGGGAGGGGAGGGGCATGGAAATTGAAGAAGTTATGAAAGTTATGAAAGTTATAAGATGGTTATATGTCGATTATAAATTGTTGTGTAAGTATGGTTAGGGACACCGTGTAAGTATAGTTGCGGCTTCGGTAAGTACATTTGCATCTGAGACAGCTACATCTATAAGTGTGATAAGGCACTCTACTTTGCTAAACCGAAGTCGCTACGCCAGTGCAGTTCCGCCTCCATTTCTGCGCACCCTTCACGCGCTTCATGGCCCCATAGGATGCTCCGCCGAAGGCCCCAGTGGTAGGGGCAACATGCAGTTCCACCTCCATGACGGCGCACATCTCACACGCTTCGTGGCCCCATGGGGTGCTCCACCGAAGGCCCCAGTGGCAGGGTCCGCATGCAGTTCCACCTCCATTTCGGCGCACCCCTCACACGTTCCGCGGCCACACAGGGTGCTCCACCGAAGGCCCCATTCGCAGGGTCCGCATACAGTTCCACCCCCATTTCGGCGCATCCCTCACACGATACATGACCCCACAGGGTGCTCCACCGAAGGCCCCAACGGCGGGGTCCGCATGCACTTCCACCTCCGTTTCGGCGCACCCCTCACTCGTTTCGTGGCCACATGGGGTTCTCCACCAAAGGCCCCAACCGCAGGGTCCGCACGCAGTTCCGCCCCGGTTCCCGCGCACCCCTCACACGCTTCGTGGCCCCAGAAGGGTTCTCCACCGAAGGCCCCAACGGCGGGGTCCGCATGCAGTTCCACCTCCGTTCCGGCGCACCCCTCACACGTTTCGTACTCAAGATGGCTCCAAGATGGCTCAAGAGGGCCCCAAGAAAGGCCCAAGAGAGCCCACAAACGGCCCCAAGAGCGCCCAAGAGCGCTGCAAGAGGGGCCCAAGAGAGGTCCAGTGAGGGGCTCCCGAGGGGGGAAGCAAATTGCGACCATCCCCTTCTTTGATCGATGTCCTCCAAGATGGCCCCAAAAGCGCCTCGAAACTCCATGAGGCTCCCAAGAGACCCCCTGGAGGCCCCAAGAGGTCGCCATCCTCTTCCTCCTCATCCTCCTCCACCTCCTTCTCCTGCTTCTCCTCCTCCTCCTCCTCCTCCTCCTCCTCTTCCTCCTCCTCCTCCTCTTCATCCTTCTCTTCATCCGCCCAGTTTTCCCCCTCCCTCCTCACTCCTCCCCCCCCACCTCCTCCTCCTCCTCGTCCTCCTCCTCCTCCACTTGATCCTCCTCCTCCTCCTCCTCCTCCTCCTCCTCCTCCTGCTCGTCCTCCTCTTCCTCCTCTTCCTCCTCCTCCCCCTCCTCCCCTCCTCCTCCTCCTCCTCCTCCACCTCCTCCTCCTCCTCCTCCTCCTCCTCCTCCTCCTCCTCCTCCTCCTCCTCTCCTCCTCCTCCCTCCTCCTCCTCCTCCTCCTCCTCCTCCTCTTCCTCCTCCTCTCCCTCATCCCCCTTGTCCTTTTTTTTTCCCATCTTGCCTCATTCGGCAGGTCCGCGAAGGTGCATACGGTTCGCTCCTGGGCCTCTGCAGGCTGATCCAAGACATCAGCTCGACGGCTTCCCCAACTGCTGATCCACTGCATGCTACTCCGCGTCACTGATTAAGGTAACTCGCCACGGCATCATTTGTGGATGAGCTGGTGGGGATTCTTGTTTGGTCGCAGCCGCAAGCGAAAGCGCAGGCGGCGAGAAGGGAGTCCGGGCCAACGGGCAAGCCTCATTAGCTACAAGGCGCAGCGCGAGCCGGCCGGGCCAGCCCTCAGAGGCAGTAGCTGCGGCAGCGGCGGCGGGGGGCTGGCTGGCTGAACTGCAACGCCCAGGGAAGCTCGAGCATCATGCAGACCTGTGGCATAGTGCCAAGGAATTCCCAATTGTGCGCCGCGGCGCCAGTCCACCACGGTGTAGGTGCCATGCCGAGACAGAGTGTCCTACACGCACAATCCGCACAAACACTGTAGCGAGAAAAGGCCAGGTACACACTGGTCATGTCGCCAGAGGGCGCCAAGGGCCACTGCCTGGTCGGCTGGGACGGGTCGAAGATGGAAGCACAGCGTCCGCCGGAAGGCTGGACCACTCCGAGACGCCACACACGTATCCTGTGGTGGACGCCAGTCCCGAGCAAGTAGCAACGACCCGGCCCGGGAGGCGATGGCACCTGTGGGCCCGGCCCAGGGTCACGACGTGAGCGCCGTAGAGAACCGCGTATTGCGCGGAGAGCAAGCCGGACTGGCGGGAATGGACGTCGCCAGCGCGGCCGGAAGGGTGGGCACCAGGGGGCGGCAGCGCCAGGGGGCGATCACCCACATTGCGATGCAGGGCCACGGGGTCCTGGCAGGCCACGTGGAGGGGCCCGCCAGGGACTCCCGGTGCCAGGAGAGAGGAGTAGGGGAGAGAGAGGCGGGAGCCAGGGAGCGGCTGACGGCCGCACGGACTCGTATGGAGTACGCGTCCAGTGGAGCGTGCGGGGGGACTGGGCGGGGAGCCGATGCCCAGAGCCTGTCGCCCACTGCGTCAGGGTTATGCTGCCCACGAGCACCCCCGCTGCCAGGACGTTGTACGAGCTGAGCTCCCATCGGGCAGCACTGTCTACTGTCGTCCTGCGGGTCCCCGTGTGCTGACGGGGATACTTTTTCGGTCGCGGCCGCGAGCGAGCGCGCAGGCGGCGAGAGAAGTGTCCGGGCCGACGGGCAAACATAATTAGCTGCTGGGCGCGCCTCAGACTAGCCGGGCCAGCTCACAGGGCGACAGCTGGGGCAGCAGGGCGGGGGCTGGCTGGCTGATCTGGCACCCGGGGAAGCTCGAGCATCGTGCAGTTGTGAGACGCCTGGCCCCACAGAGGGCCTCCAGCGTAGAATAAATCGACCTAACTCTAAAATAACTCAAAAATAGCATTGCCACATCAGGTTAAAACCTGTGAAAATTAGCTGGGGACGTAACCCATCGAGCATGGCGATAACCCCGCGCATTCCCAAATATAACAACACTGTCTCGTCCGAATCGGCGGGTGCAGGGGTGGATGATTGGACGGGCAGGGAACGTAGAGGGCGATGGCTGGCGGCCGCCGAACGGCCCCACGGGAAGTGGGCAAGACTTCCCCAACACCATCCTGTTTCTCCTCCTCCTCCTCCTCCCGTCCTCTCCCCCACACGTCCCCTTTCCTTCCCTCACCCTCTTTTTCTGAGGTGGGGTTCTTCTAGGAAGCCGCCCTCCGCTTCCTGCTCATATTCCCCTTTCCCCTCCCCTCTCCCCCCTCTCCCCCCCCCTCATCGCAACCCTCCTCCTCCTCCCCCTCCCCTTCCTCCTCCCGCCCCCTCCCCTACGAGCCCCCTACTTCCCCCTGCCTACGCGAGCGCTAATCTACACCGCCCAGGGAGCACTACATTGCAAGCACAACCATCAGACGCCGCGAGACATCACACAATTTGGAGCACGGTTTCAAGCTCGAGATTCCCCGAAAGGCCGAAGGCAATGCCGACTCAGATAACGAACCCATTGGCAAGTGAATACCCGAACAACCAGCAACGCCTGAGCCCGAACATATAGAATGACCACGCACATATACAAGCTCATGCTCTGAGACGGGGGCCGCCCCCCCCTACCTCTTAACCCGCCCCATGCCCACTGCACCCCCTCACCCTCATCGCGGGGGGACTGGTAGCCGACCACTGACCGCGGCAAAGCACGGCCGACTGTTTCCAAGACACCTGCACAACTCAGTCGATTGATCTCTGAGGGCGCCACGGCGCCGCCGTGGTGTGTCGGGCCTTGCAGATCTCCCGCGGCGCCATGTGCATCCGACAAGACGGGGCGGTCAACGAAAGAACAAGCGCGCTCACACCGCGAGCCCTCTCAAAGTTGTCTAGATTCATTCCTACTACGAGTGAATTCTGCTGGCGGAAGGGGGCAACATCAACAAAACCCGAATGGGCGATCCTCTCAAAACTTGTCAAACATTGTAGTGAACCCCAGCCCCTTCCCCTCGACTGGAGTCGCTCCACGGCCAACTCCCGCAAGGCCGTCGCCGACGTGCAGTCGGCGATGACAGTCCAAACGACTACTGGAGCGAAGAAGTACTTGTTACTAACACTCTACAGCCAGGGCCAGCAAAAACGAACGCGCATCCTCGAAGTACCCGAGCTCGGGCTAGCGGCCCAACAAGAAGGCCATCATGGGCTGGAAGACGCCGATGTGGAGAGCACGGTCCTCCTTCACACCACTGCGGAGCTTCATCCTGAGCACCTTCACTTCGTCCACGATGGCCTGGCGGAGGAGGTCGCTGTTGCGCTCGGTGGTCAGCTTCATTAAGATGACAACCTCCGCAAGCGTGATCGCGACCCTCTCAGAGACGGCACCGGCATCGTTCTTCATGTCGGCGTCCACTTGCAGGCCGCCCCACTTGCACGCCTGCACGTAGTCGCTCAGCAGCACGGTCATCTCGGCATGCTTGTCCTTCAACGGCGTCCACTGGGTGCCAGCCGTCGCGGCCTGCATGTGCTTCGAGACCTCGTGGAGGCTTGCAGCGGGCATGAGGCCCTCCCACCACTCCTTCCCAGAAGCGGTCGCGTACTTCATCTTGTCGAGCTCCTCAATGGCGCCCTTCAGACGGTCCCGAGCCATGGCGACGTGCCTCTCGGCGGCCGCACTCCTGAGATTGACTGCCCCGGCCACCGACTCGTCGTTCTTGTTGCGGAGGTTCAGATCCAAGAACTCTGCATCGCTGCCCTCGGAGATTTCCTTCGCCCTCGGCAGCTTCGCGGCGAGAGCGTCCAAAAGCTGGATGCCCCCCTCGGAGTCGACGACGTCAGCGTCCTGCGAAACCGCAGCCACAGCGTCTCTCGCCGCGAGGAAGGCGCACACGTCGGACACGATGCCAAGGCGCTTCGCCACGGTCTTCTCGGGGCAGACCACCAGCAGCGCCTCCAAGCACGCGCGGCCCGTCGACCACTCCTGGAAATTGGGGGCTCCTCAAGCACCGCGATGATCAAGTGCTGGATGCGGTTGACGCTCTTGGACCTCGCGCCCTTACTGAGGTCGACGCCCTTGACATGCGCGCAAGCCTGCGCGACGTCTTTGACGCCCTGCGCGAAAAAGGTCAAGGTCGATGCAGTTAACCTTGGCGCCCGTCGACCACTCGGGCATCAAGCTCTCGGAGGCCACGAAGAAGCGGCGGCAACGATTTGTGCTATCGATGGTCTGAAGCACCGATGCCATGGTGTGCTGCAGCTGCTCTACTTCGGCGTCACTCGTGAAAGAAATGCTGGCCTCCTGCACTAGCTCGCTGATGCTGGCCACGGCCTCCCTTGAGGGAATGGGGTTCTCATTGTAATCAAGGCTGTTGAATGCCGTGACCACATCTATGACCTTCTGCTTCAAGAGGCCTGACAGCTCCGCCGCGTGCGTCGGCAAGCCATCGCACCACGCCAGGAGGCTCTGACACCGCGACTTCAGCTGCTCCATGGATGGTTCCTCAGGCCATGGCATAAAAGGAAACAAGACGACGAGCACAGGTGGGAGCGACGATTTTTGCCTGGATAAACCGATTGAAACGATTAAAGACAGGCCGGCCTACGAGGCCCACGGAGGAGCGGTTGGAGCGCACCGAGCGGTCCTGCCCGCCATCGGCCAGCGCCTCCGTCGCCTTCCTGATGCTCGGCAGCTGCTCCCTCGCGAACGGGAGGGCCCTGAACATCGCGTCGACCTTCTCCTTGTAGAACGGGGTGGAGGCCACAGCAGCCGCAAGCACGCAACCCGCAGAAGCACCCGTCTTATCCATCATGCCAACGACCCTCTCGAGCTGGTCGGCAATGTCGAGGACCGTGGCGCCTGGAGCAGGCCAGATGCAATGGAGCAGCACTGCGCAAACGTCATTCACGTCGCTGGCACATCTAATCTGCGCAGCAGTGCAAGTGAGGTAGTCGGCGTCACCGAAGGCGGTGGAGCACGCCGCGAGAACATCAACGAGTGTAGATTGCGCACTGGGGCCCATGTAGATCATCCCATTCAAGTGGCCCTTCACAACGACTCGGATGAACTCGGCAACCCTCTCCTTGTCATTCGCCTCAGCGCCCCCAAGGGTAGGGTCCGCAGGGTCGAAGACTCCCGAGTTCATGGGCGACGCGATCCTGACGTAGTCCTCGGCATCCTCGGTGATATTCAGGCTGGCCAACTTGAGCGATACGAGCTTGAGCCGCGTCTGCCTGGGGTAATCGCAGACGCCGGCTTTGGAAAGCTTCATCACGATATCCTGAGCATCTGACCACGATAAGTCGCCCATGCATTCCGCCCGAAACTTCTCACACAAAGCCACCTGCGCCTCGAAGACGGCGAGAGTGTCGGCATCAGAGTACGTCTCCGGCTTGGCCCTCAGCCTCCTGATTCGCTTCCGCAGGCCAGCTACAATGCGACCGTCGACCTCGTTGGACATCACGGACTTCAAGTCGATCTTGGCCTTCCAATGCCTTAGCAAGTCGTCCGCGTGCAACATCTCCTGGTCCTCCTCGTCAACGGAAAGCATGCTCCCGCTGCAGCTGGCTCCATCATCGAGAGGGCTGGTGCTGGAACCGCTCCCTGGCACGCCGATCGCCACGGCGGACCTGGATGGCGTCACGAAGCCAGCGTTCCTGGAGCCCTTCCTCGGCAAGGACGTCGGAGGGGGCATCGCAGAAGCGGCGACGCCTTCAAGGACACCGTCGGCATCGATGCACTCGGCTGGAGGTTTCTCGGAGTCGCCGTCATCGTCATCCTTCGCGCCCACCTCGGATCTCAGGAAATCCGCGTACGTCTGCAACGCCGCCGCGCCTGCCTTGTTGCTGAGCTTGGCACCGAGACAAGAGACGTCGCCATCAAAGATGCTGTCCAAACCCTCCTGGAAAACGCGCTGGCCCTGCTGCTGGAAGGCCTGCTTGTGCGATTCCAATAGCTTGGTGTCGAACGTCAGCTTCCTGGTCACGCGCATGGCCACCCGACGAGCTCCCGAGCTGCCCCCACCAGCGGTATCGTCTGAACCCTCATCAGACTTGAAGAAGTAGACGTGCTCGGTGCCAGTGCCCGTGTCATTCGGAGCCGACATGCCACACAATGCCTTCGTCTGCCGCTTGAGCAAACGAGACCTGTTCAAATCCTTCTTGAGCTCGGACTCGGTCTTGACGACGATCTCACGCGTGAAATCGAAGGCCACCTCCGTCGTGTCCGTCACAGCGGACGGGGCGAAGCTCTGCTCTCCAGTCTGGGCGGTCTTGATCGCCTGATCCACGCTCTCGACCGGCTCGAGCTCCCCCGCCTTGTAAAGGTTGATGACCTCGGCGGCATCTGCGGACTGGCCCCCGACGGCCTTGGCGGCCGTCCAGCGCTGGCGGCACGCGTCCCCGACGGCGCGGCGCTGACCTCCAGACAGGCCCCTGTACAACGCCCACTCGATGCCCTTGGCCTCGGGAGCGCCGCGCTGATCAATCAAAACAATGCGGGGGCAAGGTGGCCCCCTGTCCCCAAATTGTTTTGATTGATCAACGCGGCGTCGAGGTCCGTGCGACCGCGGGCCGTTTATGAAAACAACGCCAGTGGCGCCGTTTCCGAAACGAAAAAACGCCCATCCCACCGAGGGAAGGCCGCCCTCTCATCGGTTATCTTCCTTCCCCCGAGCACCCTCCTCATCCTGCGCCTCGTCTCCTCCTCCGCTATCCTCGACCTCCTCCTCCTCCATCCTCCTCCTCCCCCCTGCCTCCCTGCCCTCCCCCTCGAGCGGCCTTGGCGTCGTCGGGGCTGCTCCTGCAGCAGAAGCACTCGAGCAGAGCGTCTGCCGCGGCCTTCTTGCCACCCTTGGGCGACTTCGGCGGGGCAGTCTCCTTCCTCTGACACTTGCGCGGGGGGCCATCAGACGTCATGCCACTCATGCGCACGCGGCCGCCCTTGGCGGCAGAGGCCATTGGTCTGGCGGCAGCTGAGGGGCAGCTGGGGAGATGCCCGAGGGACGCGCGTGGGAACTCGATCACAAACCAAAAGACTTGGGAATCAAGTGCAACGGAATGTGGGGGGTGGCGCCTGGTTCGCCCACGTGCCATGCCAACGAAAACAAAGGCAGGCCAACGACAAGGGCAATCATATTTCTCTCCGGAGAGGACGAGGAGGAGGAGGCGGAGGAGGCGGGGGAAGAGGTGAGGAGGAGGAGAGGAGGAAACTGATCGCGAAAAAAATAACTCTTTGAAGAGGAGGAAGATGAGGAGGAGGAGGAGGAGGAGAAGGAGGAGGAGGAGGGAGGAGTAGTACGCAGCTGATGAGCAAGTTCGGTATTTGCTCCTCCTCCTCCTCAGCCTCCTCCGTTCTCTGTCCTCCTCCTGCTCCTCCTCGTGCTCCTCCTCGCCCTCCTCCTCCTCTTCCTCCTCGTGGAGTCTTGAACGAGGTTCTCTATGATGGGCCCGTTGCGGCGAACAAAAGGGGGGGGATCATCAACTTTGCTGTGGGCCCCCAAAGTGCCCCTGATGATCCTCGAGATTCGCGTCCTCCTCGTGCTCCTCCCCCTCCTCGTGCTCCTCCTCGTGCTCCTCCTCCTCCTCCTCCTCATCATCCCCCTGGAGTCTTGAACGCGGTTCTCTATGATGGGCCCGTCGCGGCGAACAGAAGGGGGGGGGGTCATCAACTTTGCTGTGGGACCCCAAAGTGCCCCTGATGATCCTGCTGCTCCTGAGAGGGTGAGGGGGAGGACGGGGCGTTCACTCAATGTTTGCCCCTCGGCCGCGAAGCGTGTTCACTCAATGTTTGCCCCTCGGCCGCGAAGCGCGTCTATTCCTCTCGGCGTAAATGTCGGAGGAGGTTGAGGTGCGGGAGGGCGAGGGGCAGGAGGCGCAGGACCTTAAGTCGCCCAAGCCAAGTGAACATGGATGTCTGACTTGCATCAGCGCCCCCCCCCCTAGTTCGCCCCTCCCTAGTGGGCAGCGGCAACTGGACCCCCGACCTACATTGAAAGTTCGTTTTCCTTCGCCCCAAGGACCCCTGGCCGCAACCTCCGAAAAACCTCACTGCGGCGCTGCCGCGGGCCGCTTATTTGCTGGGCACGCGGCGCCCAAACTCATGTAAAACTAACCCAGAACTAACTCAAAACCAACTCAGAATGGCCTAAAACTAACTCAACACTAACTTTCGGCAGTTTCGCTGGGAGGGGGGGGAGCAACAACTAACCAAAAACTAACTAAAAAGTAACTTTTCCCACTGGAAACTAACAAAAACTAACTTTTCTCGAGAGGGGGCTGGGTTTCCCAGAGGAGTCGGCACGGCGCCCGAACCAGGCGTTAAAAACTAACTCAAAACTAACTCAAAACTAACCCAAAACTAACTAAAACTGTGAAAAAAAAACAAAACAACGTTAAAAACTAACTCAAACCGTTGAACAACTAACCCCAAACTAACCCAAAACTAACATTCTTCGCTGTAAGCTAACCCAAAACTAGCGTTTTCCCCGAAATGGGGCTGTTTCCTGAACAGGACCGGCCCCACGACCAAAAAAACACACAGACCGAAAGTAACTCCCAGCTTCCCAAAACTAGCTCAAACGAGACAAAACTAACTCAAAACTAACTCAAAACTAACTGAAACCTGACGCGTTCCTCTTGCTGCCCCACAGACCCGAGACACGCATGCACACCCGCTCAGAACCTACCAAAAACTAACTCAAAACTAACTCAAAACTAACTCGAATCAGACGCCCTGCGAAAACTAACTCTAAAGTAACTTTCAAAGATCTTCCAAACGCAACACCAGGACCCAGCGAAACTGCCGCCGAGTAGCTCTTGAGGGTTACCGCTGGAACAAAGGATTGCACAAGATAACTCTCACTTCTTTTCAGCCTCTCCCCTCGAGGCCAGCAGTGCGCTGTGCCACTCCAGCTCAGAGTAGCCCGATCAAGTCGGCAGGCTCCTCAGGCTCGCCAGCAGCCGCGGCTAAGTCCCGCTCGAAGCCCAAAAGCTATGGGCCTTGGTCGAGCACCGCAACCTGCGTCCGCTCTGCAAGCCTGATCCCAGCATCCCCGATGGAGTTCCTCAGGAACTCGCTGGACGAGTGCTCCTCGCGGGTCTCGGCAAGGTGCGACACGGCGAGCCACGCAGCCAAGAAACCGCATGGCCGCCCGCCACGCGGGATGCCGTCCGCGCCAATGAATTTCTCGTTCGGCGTCCTCCTCACAATGCATCGGCCGTGCGCCTTGTTCGGGCACACGGCCTCGAAGTTGGTGTAGCGGACGTAGTAGCACAACCGCCCTCCATGGATCCGCGCAGTGGCGTCTGCGCCGATCCTGTCACGAGCTGGGCCAGCTGGCGGCGGCGGCGGCGGCGGCGGCGCAACAGCAGCCTCCGCCTCCTCGCCAGGTGGGGCGCCGCCCGCTGCGCCGCCCTCGTGCGGCGCGCGGTCGCCATGTCCTTCATCAAGCCCGCCTCCAGGCGCCATGCCGTCGCCAACCTCGCCCTCGTCTAGCTCGTCGACGAGGGCCGCCACGTCGTCGCCGCCGCCGTGCTCACGGGCCCCATCGGCACCATCGCCATCGTCGTATGCGTCAGCGACTGGCTCAGCTCCCCCATCGTCCTCCAAGGGCAATGGCCCGCGGCCTCTGCCGCCAGCTCGGCCGCCACCGCGGCCGCCGCCTCGACCGCGCCCGCGCGCCCGACGCGGGGGCGGCCACATCTGCTCAGCGGCGTCGCGGCCGCCGAGCGGGAGCAGCGGCGCAATGGCGGGGTCCATGTCTCGGATGCGCACTGGCGTGGACTCAAGGGCGAACCACTGCGCGCTCCATTCAGGCCTGTCAAGAAGTGGAAGCAGCGCTTGGTACATCACCTTGAACTCCCTGCGCGCCTGAACGTACACACGATTCGGGGTGAAAGCCAGCTCGCCTGGATCTGGGATCTGCGTCAAAATCTGAAACGTAGGTTCATAAGGTGACCAATAATGAAGCCCAATGTGGAGCCACACGTCCAGTGAATCAAAGCCGAGAGCACCACCGCCGTGTAAATGAGCAACAACCCGACCCCGATCAACAGCGTCTCGCTCGAACGTCCCAACTTTTGCAATTGACTTCAGGATTGTAAGGAATCGGGAAACCCGCTGGGCCAATTGTAGGCCTTGGCCCTTATGAACGCAGAACTCTGCGCGCTGGCACTGGCTTTGCGTTTGCACCTTGTGGGTCTCCAACTGCGGCCCCTGCGAACCCAGGACAAGGCTGCATACTTCCTGCCAGTACGCCTCCAAGCTAGTGCAAAGGTTGGCACGGTGAGTCTGGTGAGACGCCCACCCCAATGCCTTCGATATGAAGCCGCCCATGTCGAAAGCAGACTCGAAACACCTGACCTTGCCAGATAGTGGAACAGACGCCCAAGATCCCGATAATATGCAATCCTGCATTGGATGTGAAACGCTCTCTACCACACTCTCCCTGCCCAAGCCCTCGACGTAAGTCTGGATCACGTCGTCGTCAGCGTTGAGCTCCTGGGTCCGCCGCCGCGAAGCCGCGGCGCTCATCCTGCGAAGGTGCTTCAAGCAATCGTCAGTGTTGGCGAAAGACTCTGACATGGCACGGACCTGGTCAAGACGATCGCGAGGCAGCGCCGCCGCCACCTGGAGGCCATCGGCAGCCCTGGCACCCACGGCCGAGCGTCGCCTCGAGCTCGACGCAGTTGGACCAAATGACGAACCAGGCAGCCCACGTCGGTGTGCAAGCGTAGCCAAGCGGCCAGGCTCTGCAAGGCGAGCCAGCTGTTCTGGCGTCAGGGCTCGACGACGGCGATGCGCCTCAGCCATCGTCATCTTGCCTCCAGCGTTCATCAGGCACTGCCGCAAGAACAACCTCGCGACGCCTCCACCGCCGCGAGCCTTCTTGGTTTTCTTGACTTGTTTCTGTCTTTGTTGCGGTGGTTTGGCAAGCTTGCGATGGCGCTGGTTGGCGAACCTCTTCCGAACGTGCATGCGCACCCACTCAGAGTTCAAGTCCTCAAAGGTCATGCGGTGCGTCTGGCACGACTTCGACACCAAATGACGACGAGTGGTTGCGAAATAGTTCTCGACCCGTGCATTGTCTTTCCTGAACTTCCAAGCGACGCACAGCAACTTTGCGAGGCACTCGTCGTCGTTGAGGGTAGGGTGGTCCACAATCAACTCTTTGACCCAATCTGTCAGCACGCACTCTGAAGTTTGCGCCATGATGGGGCCCAGCTCGGGGCGCTCGAGAAGCCTCAGGACCCTCGTGGGGTAGCTCCGTCGATCGTGAGAAACCTCGAGGGCGGCAGCGGGGGAGGGAGGGGTGCGACGACCGACGGAGAGGGATGCATCCTGAACAAAAAAACAACGTTTTCAAACGAAACATGAAATAACACTCGGTATGAAGGGCCAGGGCGAGAAGGGAAAGTAGGCGGAAGGCGGGCTGGCGCCCGCGCGCACCTTGCACTCCGTCACGCAGCCGACCCGACT